GCAGGCAACTAAATGGACATCTTGATCTACGTGATTATCAAGGGCAATAAAATTGACATCTAATGATTTACATAATTAATCAACAGCAATAAAATGGATAAATTGATCTTTATAGAAGATCTACATGGCAATAAAATTGACTTCAGATTCTACCAATTAAATCTATCTAAAATTTTACCCGTCACAATGGCAAAATATATACTACCACGTTGTTCTTTAAACATTTTTGTAGTTTTTGAAAGGTAAATTTTATTTTGGTTAAAAATCAAAATAAATAAACCAAACACGCTTTATTTGGTTTTGATTCAAGTAAACAAGGTCAGGTACATTACATAACTGCAGTATTATACAGTCATATGATGTATTTGATATGAAATAGCCAAAAGATAACATTTGGAGACTTTTGGTGGGGATCTGTACATCTCATTCCAGTAATAATATACATTAACTAACGATTCATCAGCTCGTTTGGCTTGATTTTCATTTATAGATTCTTTGTGGTGTTTTATGATTAGGCCTTTAATGATAAAAAGAAACACTTTCATCATATTCCAAAATTCATTAGCGGTAAACCGCTTAATATTTTCCAATTTATTTTTAAATAATTTAAGACCAGAAAATCTTGGAATTTTGGCCAGACAATTATCAAGTTCATCAACTGCTATTTGACTACACAATTCCTTTAATATTTCCCTTGTATAGTCACTTGATAATTAAATAATCCTAAATCAAGGTGATGCATTTGGTCGGGTATTATTAGCAAATAAATATTTAAATAACTATAAATAAATATTATTAGAAAATTACTGCAATTATACACTTTTCTTTAACAATCATACGATACTCACAGATATTTCCAAAAGATGTTTTTCATATCATTCAAAGAATACTGTCATGTAAGACCTTATTCAATAAAACTTTTCATAATTTTCAGTATTCTCAAAATAATTTGATCATCTGTTAATTTCACATTATTCAAATTTTCACCTTCTATTAAACAATGATGACATGAACGGTTACAATTAATAGAATTATATGTTAAAGTTACTGCGACATTTTCTGAAAGGTCTTCTAACATCACAGAAATGAATGGATAATACCATAATTTATCATTGTCTGTTTGAAGATCAAACCCTTTGATGTTATAATCAAGTAATAGTTGTATCAATATATTTAAAGCATACTAATAAAGGGTATGTTTTGTCAGTTGAAAGTTTTTAGATTTTTTTTGAAAAATAGTTTTTACCTTTAATTGTGAAAGATATTCCAATAGAATCTTTGCATCAGGTTTATTCCTAATCCAACTAGAAATATTTTCCAATATCAAATAGATGGGATGTTCGCTAGTTTTACCCAATTGATTGCATGTTGTTACATCAGAATACAAGATAATTGATAAAACATTGGCTTCTTTGGGAATCAAATTTTGTATCTTCTCCCATCACTCTCTATTATACTGTTTACGATAAATCCTTTGACCTTCATAATATAATACCTTAAATTTAAAAACACAATGCTGAAATATATTTTAATTGCTCAACAATTCCTTTATTGCATCGAAGATTTGATAATAATAAAAGTAATATGTTTCTTCATTGTATATCATAATTGGAACTTTCTTAAAGGAAATATGCAGTACATTTATTCGATCTAATAACTGGCAGTCTTGTATTACTGATGAAGGTAAAATTACATTATCACAGCAAATCTTGCGTGCAAATTTGAGTATATCACTACTGCATGTATCTGATAAGTTCCACTTAGTAAGCAATTCTATAAAGTCTTCAAATTCTTCACTTGGAAATTCTGGCTTATATGTTGTTAAACTACTAATATTAATAGATTCAAAGGTTTGAATCAGTTCAACATAAAGCAATAAACGTTTGATTTCATCATTATCGATCACTTCCTATATATAGATATTAATAAAGTATAAATAAACTATTTAACACATTGATCTTTTACCTCTTCAATTGCTGCTTCTCCTAGTTATTCATTATAATTTAACTTTTTCTCCTTCTCCCTTTCTAGTTATTCATTATAGTTTAACTCTTCCTCCTCCTCTCTTCGTAGTTGTTCGCTATCGCTCAACTTTTCTTTTTCCTCTCTTCGTAGTTGTTCACTGTTGCTTAACTCTTCTTCCTTCTCCTCCCCTCATAGTTGTTCATTATAGTTCAACATTATTTCTACCAATTCATCATCGTTCAGCTCTACTAGTTATTTATGGTGTTACATTAGTTTGTAACTTCAAATAAAATCTTAAAAGGGTAAATAAAACTAAGACAATTACTTAAGAAATCACAGGTGAGGATTCATAATAACGTCAAAGAATTATTTCTAATAATAAACATATGAGATAGACACAAAATAAACATAAAGATAACTCAAAGATATTTCAGGGATTATGCTTCAGAGACTCTAAGTCAATACAGCGAATCAATACAATATCATATAATAAGTTTACTAACAGTAATTATAGGGATTACATGAATGCAAAGGGTCACAGATAATTTATAACAGTTTCAATGGGTTTGCGAAGGATAAGTATTATACTTAGTTAATTATACTCCTTTATTAATATAATAAATAAGTTCAGTACCTAAAAGATTAATATCTTGTCAGTGCTAAGACTCAAAGAAAATACAGAGATATTTATACATGTTGAATAAATAATAAAATAAACTAAACTAAATA